CAGAATCATAGAGCCCAAGAATGGACTAACATTTACCAAAGGGAAGGGGACTGGGGAGGAGGGGTGGAAAGGGAGGGATAAGGGCGGTGAAAAAGAAAGGGACCTTACGATTAGCATGTTTAATGTGGGGGGCATAAGGAGGGATGTGCAACACAGAGAAGACAAGTAGTGATTTTACAGCATCTTACTACGCTGATGGACAGTGACTATAATGGGGTTTGTGGGAGGGACTTGGTGAAGGGGGGAGTCTAGTAAACATAATATTCTTCAAAAAATAAAATAAAATACAGCTTCTCTGTTCCTTCTCTTTCTTTTTCATTCACTCCTCGACCCTCTGCCATCAGCCCTGTCCCCCATCACTGCTGAAATTGCCTTCTCAAGGTCACAAATGTCCTCCTGTTTGCAAATCCTCTTCTCAGAATTGATGCTACGGGCTCCTCACTACCATCTGTTGCTGATCTCCTTCCTGAAACTCCGTGCTCTCCAGCTCCCTTCTTCTTTTAACTCCCATTTCCTAATGAAAAACTCCAGCAGGATGTCCTACAGGCAGGCAGCTGACTCTAAGCACATTAAGCCTAGAATTCTTATTTCCACCCTGAATCTGCTTGGCTCCTCCCCCCAGGTGTCCTGTCTCAGAGAAAGGCACCATCGCCACCCATACACCCAAGCCGGACTCTTCTGTGTCCTCTGACTCTGCTCCTCCTCTCTCCATCCTGTCCTGCCCACACACACAGCTGGTCCCCAGGTCCCGTCTGTTCCATCCTGTGGCAACACCACTGCCTTTTTATCACCACCACCCTAGCCTAGTCGTGTCCTCACCACCACCCAGTTGTCCCACAGCCCCTTCACTGGCATCCCTTGCTCCAAACTCCTTAATACCTCCCAGCCACAAATCTCTCTTGAAATAACAGCTCTCTTCACAATTTAAGCTCACTTAACATTTGTTAAGCTCACTTAACATTTAAAACCTTAAAGTATTCTTCAGGCCTTCAATGTAAGGACCAAACTCTTTAAGATGACATTTAATGTCTTGTGCTAATAAAAACAAAAACAACAGAAGTACATTTACCACATGCTGTTGTACACACACTCACACACAGAGCACACTATATAGTAAGTGATTCAGATACTTCAGATCTCACAACCCCATCATGTAGACATTTTCCACATTTGTCCATCTGCCAACATGAGGAAACTGGAGATCTGAGATTTTAAGTAATTTGTGCAAGGTCAGAGAGCTAGCAAGAGGAGGAGTCCAGACTCCTTCACCTAGTCACAACGGTTTATTAGGTTCCTTAAAATGAGATCTGACCCCAAAGTCCTGCCCCCAACTTTATGCCACCCTGGCCTCAGGGTTTACAGCCCACCTCCCGAGCCCCCAGCACCAATGCTGCTCTCGGCACAGATCACGTGACAACACTGTGCTACACCAGCCCTCCCTGCCCGGGGCTGGGTTTTCTTTCCCCTGACCTAGCATGCCTCTTCTCATTTGGGGAATATTCCAGGGAGTCAGCCAGCTGTCCTGGAAAGTACACAGGATCTGTAGTCAAAGATCTGGGTCCAACTCCTGGCAGTACTTCATAGCCGTGTGGCTTTGGGCCTATTCTAAATTGGTTTCCTACTCTCTGCATCGGGATCCCAGGACCTACCTCAGACTGGTGAGGATTAAAGTGAAATTATGTATACAGTGCATCTAGTACACATTTATTCACATCTCTATAACTGCCAAATGTTCCCAGAACAGCAGCAGAAGCATCATTCCTACTGTACGGGCTTCCTCCTTCCTGCTGCACAAACAGCTCCCGTGTACTGGTCCCTGCAGAGTTCTGTTCACACTACAAACAACTGCCAGTCATCGACTATACGCACATCTTTCTCAATACTGTGAGTAGTGTAAGGAAAGGGACTCTTTGTTAGTGATCTTTAAGACCCCAGCACCTAGCGTGTGCCTGGCACACAGATACTGCTCAATGTACCTCTAAATTAAAGCATACAGTCAACATAAATTAACATCTGCTGACTAAAGTTCAAAACCCGCCAAATAAGATAACACTTCTCAGTAAGCCTCAGTGTTAACATTTTTGAATTCTCCAGAGTTAAAAAAACAAAAACCTTCTGTTTTTTGGTATCATTTGAGATCTGAGAGAGTGTTTTGCTCATAAATTACATTATTGATCAAGTAAATTCTCCCTTTTTCCTCAAACTCTTATACACTATGGATTCAAAGTATTTGGAGTCCTCATCCACGGGAAGTATCTGTAGACTGAATTAAACATTATTTATTCACATTATTAAAAGTGATTCAAACAGAAGATCAGATTTTCTTCTTTAGACTTCTGTGGAACATATGAATGAAAATTCCTTGTTTAAAATACATCTTCCCCCTGTCAGTGTTTTATTCATTAAATTTTCTGTTCCTAATTTTAATGTTTTCCAATTTTAATATTTCTTCTCGAATAATGATTCAAGTTGTGTTCCTGAGCAAACACAGCTTTGTTTCTAAGTCTTACATATTAAAAGGACACGTTCAAAGGATTCTGTCTAGACCATAGGAAAAAAATCTCATCAACATACCAAGTGTCTAGCCAAGAACTTTTTGAATCTTAGAATTAAAAAAATAAATCCTCTACTCTATCTAGCTCAGAACCATGTGTTGTTTGATCCATTCTTCATTTACCTGGTTCGTATAAAAGAGGCACATGCTTTCATCTGAGTCTCTAGCAATACCGCTTCTCTCTTTTCTGCCATACAGTTTTGGATATTTTTAAGAGCTTTCCCACTCTTCTGGTTACTATTGCCACTTGGTCCCAGAGAAAACACAGAGCTCTCAGGCAGCATTTCAGGGAATCCCAAAAGACTGTCTTTTCCTGAGCGTGGAAAGGAGGATTTGACAGTTTTGTCACTTGAGGTGAGATGGTTCTGGGTCTGAGATGTCAGACACGATGCTGAAAGAGCTGGCCCCAGATTCAGGTAAGCCTCTGCCAATCTGCCCCAGCTCCAAGGATCAAGAGGATGCAAAGAAATCAGTTTTTGTAGGCAGAAAATTGTTTTCTCCAAATTCTGCAAACTTGAACAAATTGCAAACTGGAGGTAGAGCACAGTGGTTAAATGGTCTGTGTTAGTTGCTTTATTTTCCTAAGGAGAAAAAAAAAGTTAAAAACTTTAAACTAAAGTACATTTTCCACATAAAAATGGAGATGCCTCTTACTATGCTGATGGACAGTGACTGTAACAAGGTATGTGGTAGGGACTTGATAATGGGGGGAATGAGTAACCGCAATGTTGCTCATGTGATTGTATATTAATGATACCAAAATAAAGAAAACTGGAGATGCCTAAAAACCCAAGTAGTATAGATGCATACATTATAAATCAGAAATACGTTTCAGTAGCTACACAGTAGAGCAAGCTATTTTTCAATAGATATTTGAAATCACAAACCTAGAAAAATAAATGCTATCTAGCAAAATAATCACCATTCCCAAACATCTTAATGTTGTAACAGTAACATAATTCACACGACAAAGTTCAGTACCAAAAACATAAATGGCAGTTTATCTTCAATTTTTATTATAATCTTCATTGTCTTCAGCCATATATCTGAAAGACCCAAGCCAATTTTTTAATACTCTGGGCTAATGATTCCATTTTAATATTTCAGGCTTTCTAAAAACTCAAATGATAATTTCCTTGAGGATTCGAATGGACTCCGTTTCCAAATTTTACTTGGCTTAGACATCTTAGACAGCATAGCCCTGAAGCTCAGTGTTTCATGCTGCATCATAATTGAATCCAAATGCCTTCTCTGGTAACTATTACCAAGGTCATTTATTTTTGGCCAGAGGTTACTTGGTTTCCTTCTGATCAGAAAACCTTTTTAAGTCTCCTTAACCAGAGCCACCACCTCTTGCCTAAATTGCCATATGGCAAAAGCTCTTTGGGTCAGGGAAAAGAAGCCTTCTTTTTCTAAGGTAAAGTCTGTGGAGAGCAGATGGCAGACTAAAATTACCTTTCAACTAGTTTTAAGTCTAAGGAAAACCTGGCCTACTAGCATCCAAATCAGGTTCCCCCACAGAACTACACTGAGCAGGAAATACAAGTAAAACTACCCCATATACAGCCTGAAGAAACTGGCAGGCCAGTGAGTGAGCTTGGACAGGAGTCTAATATTTTATATATTGAGTGAAAAGGAAATAAAGCCCTATTTGGTTACACTGTACCTTCCCAAGGATAGAACTTACCTGGATTTATTATTACTATTGTTACTATTGTTTACTAGTCTGTTCTTCCCAACAGACATTAAGTTCCAGAAGAATATTTATTTAATGCTGAATTCCTACTACATAGCACAGCACCTCAGACATAACAGATGTTTCATAACTGCTGGGTAATCTTCATGTCTTTTATTTATAAGGAAAGCAACATCTGTTACCTTTCTTCTACAACCAGTCTATGATGCTTTATGCTGTTTCAAAACATTTTCATATTGAGAAAGCAAGTGTGTGCTGGGGTTGAACCTGTTTCACATAAACTATGAGTTTGATGTGACGATTTTGATAGCATCATTAGTGTATAACTCTGGAAACTGGATTCCATTTAAATGAGTTTGGGCAGTTTTCCAGAATATGACAATTCCTTCTATAATATGATGATGATGACAATAGTTAACATTCATTGAGTACGTACCACACACCAGGCAATTTCTAAGTGCTTCTCTCATTTAATTCCCGTGACAATCTTCAAAATAAATTATTATCCCCATTTTATAGATGAGGCAACTGAATCACAACAGAGTTCAGTAACTTGCCTGATGTCACACAGCAAGCTACAGTCAGTCATACTAAGAGACACAGAATAAAGGGTATTTCAGAAGAGCTGACACATGTTAGCTGGCTTAGGAATCTCTCCCCAGACTGTAGATGAGCAATGTATGTGCAGGGTATGGATGAGGTTTATCTGTCTCCTTTTCACTGAACTCAGAATTGAGCACAGGGAGGAATGAAATAAAGGTCTGTGGAGTGCGAGAAGACAAGCAGTGACTCTGCAGCATCTTACTATGCTGGACAGTAACTGTAATGGGGTATGTGGGGGGGACTTGGTAATGGGGAGAGTCTAGTAACCGTAATGTTGCTCATGTAATTGTACATTAATGATACCAAAAACAAAAAGGTCTATGGAGTGTATAAATGGGAAAAAAAAGTCATTTACTACCAGAAAACAGTTTTCTTACCACAGTTTACCACATATGCATATCAGCCACTAGAAGTTTAAATAATTTGTTTAAGAAATAAGTTCTATTACATACTTTATCCAAAAATCATTGAGAGGTGAATAAACTTCAATAGAAGCTGTGAACATAAAAATGCTCACATCCCGGTAGGCCCTCCAGGACTAGCTGTCCATTTGGTCAATGCTGTATACTGACATGTCCCCCTACAGAACATGAGGGGACAATAACCACTGAGAGAAAAACAAACATGGGCCAGGAACCAAGAAATGAGAAACCAACAAATAGGTAGGGGCCACTGAGATCATGTGAAGTGACCCAAAGGAAGGGGTGAGACCACTAGGATACTCTGCCCATTTCCTTCCCAGCAGTCCTCCCTGTTAGGGTGTCCAGAGGCCTAATGAACCCTGTTCTCCTACCATGGGAGCGGAAGGACTTCTGACTGGCCGTTTGTCCTGGCTGGTAACCATTGCAAGCGCTGAAGACCTGGTATCTGCAGCTGATGGGCAACAGACGTTCCCTTGATTCACAGAAACAGAGACCTTCTGAACCAGCAGGAGCCACAGGGATAATGCAGCACCTGACACTAAGCTAGCTGCTGCTGCCTTCAGTGGCCCAGGCTGGGAAGACAAAGCACAGTAGTGATGGAAAGATGCTGGAAGAGACAGGTGGTGGGGTAGCAGAACAGAAGTGAGGGATGGGTAGCTGGTGTCTAGAAAATGGTACTGAAAGAGCCAAAAGTTGCTGTTCCTTTGCAGAATGATCACTGTTTGGTCCCACCAAGTTCGCTGTTCATGCCATGTGCTTTCTTAACAAGGCAATCTTATTTTCCAGCTTAAGAAGTAGCTCAGTTAGTGGAGGGGAGAAAAAGAATGAAAAAAAAAAAACAGTTCTTTTCCATGTTGGAAGACAGTTACCACCAAAATTTCCTCTCACTGCAAGAGGCTGAGGTCCTATGCTGTGAGACCCTGGCAAGCGAATTTAGGGATTTCTCTTTGCTAATGAGATGGAAGAAGACAGCTCAACTGAATGCAACGTTTAGGCAGACCTCTGGTTGACTTGACCCACAGGGTTCAAGATCAGTGCCTAGGTACCTCATTAATTTCCTTTAAGGAAGAAAACAGGTCATTTATAAACCAAGATTGATCAACTCAGACCAATTCCCATATAAAATTTATACACACACACACACAAAAAAAACCCCCATAAATTATAAATGCCTTAATGTGAAACACAAACAAGTAGAACCTAGAATTGCAAAGAACTGCTTTTCTTTCTCCTTTAAAAAGATTATGCAAATTCCTTCCAAGAATAGAAAGAATTAAGTCTAGCTTAAATGAGAGTTATTTTGTAACTTTTTTCTTATTTACAAAAAATAATACATGTTCACTCTAGAAATTTTGGAAAATAAAATCTAAAAAATATCTACAGAAGAAAACATCACTGATGACCCTCCCACTCTGAATATTTACAAGAATAAAACCTTTGCAAATGAGATTTTTCAGGCAATGAAGAATTTTGAGCATAACACAGGAAAAGATTAAGAAAATGATTGTCTAGTGCTCCAAACTGTTCATAATAATAAAGTTCTTACACTACTGACAGTTTTCCTCTACTTTTCCAAACCCACAGTTATTGCTGCTAGCAGGAAGTTCTTTTTTTGTTTTTTTCTCATCTTGTAGAAAATAAACTATTCAGCTATCCCAGGAAAGCAAATGAAAATATGCAAAGAAACACTCACCAAGTTTGTAGCAATCTCCAGTGCTTCCAGGTGCCTTCCCAGGTGAACTAGACACCGAGCCTGGCCTTCCTGGATATCCCTTTTCATGGCAAAATTCGTAGATGGCAATTTTTCAGAGACGCTGGAATACTCCTGCAGTGCTTTCTGGCAATTATTTAAGAAAATGAAGAGATTGGATGAAAAGAAAGGTGGAAAACAGCAGAGAAAGGATCCAGTTACAGGGATGATTTTTTCCTAAGCAGAAGTAGTGTTATAATTGACCCCACAATGAACTAAGGAAGACTTGAGTCTTCAATCAGTACCATTTTTCTGAAAGGTAGACGAGAAATGGCTGGAGAACCATAGAAAACATCACAGTATAGTACAAAAGCATTCTGGAGCCAGAGACCAAGGTCTGGATCCTGGTTTTGCCACTAACTGGCTATATAACCTTTTCCTCAGCAAAACAACAGGACTCTTGTGAAGAAGAAATGAGATCTGTATGGAAAGCAAGCTGGTATCTAACTGTTCTTCCCTTTTCTTATACATTTTTGGGTGCTCAGCTCCTGTGGCACCATGAGGTATCTGTGCTAGGGGCTCCCACATAATGAGAAGATAACAGCATCTGTGGAAACAGACATATGAGTACCCCCAAAAGATCCCAATATTAGAGTTGTGGGAAACTGAGTAAATTATATAGAGCCATGCAGAAAAGGACAGAAATGTGGGCTTCTAAGATTACAAACACCTATCACAGAAGATTCAATCCATCTTCACAAACATGCTCATAACTTAGTACCCTGTTATTTCAATAAGCTGTAACTGATAGAACAAGAGCCTATTTCAAACAGTGCAACATTACATATGTTTAATTCTACCTGATACTCTTGCCGTCTGTAGGCCAGGTCCCCTTTGAATTTCTTCATAGTTAGAGTTTCAGCATCATCAGTGCTCCCCATTTCTTCACAAAACCACTAGAATTTGTGAAAATATAATATGGTACAGCGAATGAAATTATGTTTTCCCACTTCATACTCAAAAGTAATTTTCAATATATAACTGATTAAACCTCAAAAAAGGCATACATCTTCAGGTAAGACTCTGGAAAACATCTTGACAGAGGAAAAATGACAATTTTAACATACTAATAATATCATACTGCTTGATGAGAAAAGAAGCACAAAAGTATATGGTTTTCACCCTGGATTAAAGATGGTGGCGTGAGAGGAGAGACAGAGGCTTCCTCCTAAAACTGGATACAATTAGAAAATTTAATTGGCGCAACTAATCCTGTGAGAGCAACAGGAAAGAGGATGGCGTTAGACTGCACACACCTGGAGAAAAGAGCAGACCTCAGCAAACGGAGTAAAGTACGAGCCCTTCCCCCACCCGAGCTCACCGGCGGGAGGAAGAGAAACTGATCAGGGAGGGAGTGGAAGGCTTGGGACTGCTGAATACCTGGCTCCCGAGATCTGTCTTGGAACACAAACCTACATTTCATGGTGCTTTCATCATACTCTTCTGATTACGGGGTTGGAAAGCTGGGACAGGCCCAGCCCCTTGAGGAAAGCAGGGTCCACATCCGGCTACTCTGGGACAAAAACTTACACTTGTGTGACCGGCCCACTGGCTCAGGCATTGGAGACAGGCACAGCAGCCAGGAGGTGGGGAACAGCTCTTTCCTCCCCTCCAAGGCACCAGTACCGCTCCCCTGTGACCCCTGACATTGCAGGGGCTGAGCAGCTCCAGAATAGAGCTTCTGGACACTAGAGGGCGCCATATACAAACATGAACCTTGTCCAGAGTAAAATTATTAATACAACTCCCAAGAAAGATTGAAATGATACGGACCTTGTGACTCTTCCTGAGAGGGAGTTCAAAATAAAAATCATCAACATTCGAATGGAGGTACGGAAAGATAGCCAAGAACTCAGGAATGAATTAAGTTCAGTGATCCAATCATTGGAAGACCACGATGGGGGGTATTAAAAGCAGGTTGGATACGGTGGAGGAGAAGATAAATGAAACAGAAACTAAGGGAGGAGGAATACAAAGAAGCTGACACACAGAGAGAAAAAAGGATCTCTAAATATGAAAGAATATTGAAAGAACTGTGTGACCAATTCAAGCGGAACAATATTTGCATTATAGGGATACCAGAAGAAGAGAGAGAGAGAAAGGGATAGGAAGTGTCTTTGAGGATGTAGTTGCTGAAAACTTCCCCAATCTGGGGAAGGAGAGAGTCTCTTAGGCCATGGAGATCCACAGATCTCCCAACACAAGGGACACAAGGAAGACAACACCAAGACATATAGTAATTAAAATGGGAAAGATTAAGGATAAAGACAGACTGTTAAAGGCAGCCAGAGACAGAAATAAGACCACATACAAAGGAAAGCCCATCAGGCTAACATCAGACTTCTCAGCAGAAACCTCACAGGCCGGAAGGGAGTGGCATGATGTATTTAATGCCATGAAGTAGAAGGACCTGGAACCAAAATTACTTTATCCCCCAAGATTATCACTTAAATTTGAAGAAGGGATTAAACAATTTCCAGATAAGCAAAAGCTGAGAGAATTTACCTCCCACAAACCATCTCTACAGTCTATATTGGAGGGACTGCTACAGATGGAACTGTTCCTATGGTTGAATAGCTGTCAGCAGAAGTAATAAAACTACAGTAAAGAAAGTAGAACAGCTAATTACAAAGCAAATGCAAAATTAAATTAACTATCCCCAAAATCAATCAAGGGATAGACACAAAGTACAGAATTTGATACCAAATATATAAAGAAAAAAGGAGGAAGAAAAAGGAGAAATAGAAAACAGCCTTTAGATTGTGTTTGTAGCAGTACACTAAGTGAGTTAAGTTAGACTCTTAGATAGTAAGGAAAGTAACCTGGAACCTTTGCTAACCACAAATCTAAAGCCTGCAATGGCAATAAGTACACATCTATAGATAATCACCCTAAATGTAAATGGACTAAATGCACCAATCAAAAGACATACAGTCACTGAATGGATAAAAAAACAAGACCCATCTATATGCTGCTTACAAGAGACTCACCTCAAACCCAAAGACATGCACAGACTAAAAGTCAAGGGATGGAAAAAGATATTTCATGCAAACAACAGGGAGAAAAAAGCAGGTGTTGCAGTACTAGTATCAGACAAAATAGACTTCAAAACAAAGAAAGTCACAAGAGATAAAGAAGGACATTACAGAATGATAAAGGGCTCAGCCCAACAAGAGGATATAACCATTATAAATATATATGCACCCAACACAGGAGCACCAGCATATGTGAAACAAATACTAACAGAACTAAAGGAGGAAATACAATGCAATGCATTCATTTTAGGAGACTTCAACACACCACTCACTCCAAAGGAAAGATCCACCAGTCAGAAAACAAGTAAGAACACAGAGGCACTGAACAACACACTAGAACAGATGGACCTAACAGACATCTATAGAACTCTACACCCAAAAGCAGTGGGATACACATTCTTCTCAAGCGCACATGGAACATTCTCCAGAATAGACCACATACTAGGCCACAAAAAGAGCCTCAGTAAATTCAAAAAGACTGAAATTCTACCAACCAAATTTTCAGACCACAAAGGTATAAAACTAGAAATAAATTGTACAAAGAAAGCAAAAAGGCCCACAAACACAT